GACTCTGAGAATCATGCAACAGTGATGAGAGAGAGATGAGAATGGACTCAAGACAAGACAGCCTGAGTTTTAGGCAAAGCAAGGTTGGAATTATGACAAGACAAGGCAAGGACATGTCAGAGGGAAAGCAGGAAATAGCACAGTGCAGAAGAGGATGCTTAGACAGCCAGCAGTGCGGGCAGGAAGCAGCATGTTTCCCCCTTGTTCCTTTCAATAGCTATTCGTTTTTTGTTTTTTGTTTTTTTTTTTTCAGTTTAAATGTCTATGTGTCTTTACTTGTTCCTTCAAGCCTTACATTCCAGCTCCCAGTGAAGCACGTCTTTATTTCATGTTATCTCTGAGCTTTGGTTTCTTTCATCCACAATGAGGAATCATAACACCTACTGCGTAGGATTTAAGAGGGTAAGCTATTGAGTAAAGTTCCCAGTGTGCACCAGGCTTGGTTGTGACTGTGGAAACAGCCATGATCATTTCCTGCCTATTGATGAAGTGTGGATGGAGGACTGAGCCTTTAATCCCTGCCATGTGCAGAAAGCAGAACCACGGGCAGGGAAAACGTCTATGGCTGTAGAGGGGAGAGAGAGGAGAAAGCATGTGAGGACTTGTAGACTGTGACGGAGAGACAATCTCCAGTCGGTGTTCTGTTGTTGTGATAAGGAATCACGGCAAATGTCCATCTTAGTCTGTTTATCTCCGAGGACTGCTGAGTGGTTTCTCACACACTGGCCAGGGCCTGCATATGGCAAGGCTCACTTTGACTCCGGGACTTTAGCCCCCTGTGATCTGCCTGACAAGGGACGGCAGCCGGGAGTTGCTGTGTTCCTTCCCTCTATGAAGGTGCACGTGGAGACTCCAGCGGAGATGACAGGGGTTTTGGTGGAGGGAGTGAGGATCTGGGACAGCAGAGGAGCCGCTGACCTGGAGAGAAGCTCCATACATCAGCCCCTAACCTTGGCCTTCCTTTTCACAAACACAGTTTTGCAACTAAGGAAGTTATGTAACAAATCCAAACTATTTGGTGAAGAATCCCAGAGCTGGTGGACTAGAACTCTCTGGTCTTTAAAACTCTTTGAGGGTCACATACTGGAAATGGGTTTCTTCACATTCAGCTGCTGAGTGGTGGCCTGGGCCGCCATCCCCAAGCGGCCTGACAGTGAGTCAGTGATAGCATTGAAACCTTGAGGTTTTATAGACCAGCGTCTTAGGATCCTCCGAGCACTGAAAGGCAGCTGCCCTTAGTTCAGACAGAACTCCCTTTGACCACACCACTCTCCCCTCTACCTCTCTTCCTGCTCTGCACTGGCCCTTGTCTTGGTCCTGTAGCACGGGAGGCTGTTCCCACCTCCCGGCCTCTGCACTCACTCTCGTCACCTGGGATGCTCACTCCTGGGTGTCTTTGTGGCTGGTACCTCATTCCTTACTGTCCAATCACCTTTTTTAACCACCTCCATCAACCCCAGTGTCCTTCCCTGACAGGTCCTACTCACCTTAGTTTCCTCCAGAACATTCTGCATCTTCTAATGGATTGTGTTATTTGATGACTTGTCTGTTACCACCACCACCACACCACCCCACCACCACACCACACCACCACCACACCACCCCACCACCACACCACCACCACCCCCACCACCACCACCACCACCACCACCACCACCACACCACACCACCACACCACCACCACACCACCACCACACCACCACACCACCACCACACCACCACACCACCACACCACCACACCACCACACCACCACACCACCACCACCACCACCACCACCACCCCACCACCCCACCCCACCACCACACCCCACCACCACACCACCACCACACCACCCCACCACCACCCCCACCACCACACCACCACACCACCACCACCATCACCCCACCACCCCACTACCCCCACCACCCCACCACCCCACCACCACCTCCACCACCACCACCCCACCACCACACCACCACACCACCACCACCACC